CCGGTCCAGTGGTTTCACACCCAAATTTTACACACTTACAAAGAAGAACTAGGTACCTATCTGCAGAAACTATTCCACAACATCGAGAGAAGAATGGAAACCTCCCCACACCTTTTATGAAGCGAAGTATACTCTGATACCAAAACCAGGACAAGGTTGCACAAAAAGAAAAACTACAGACCAATATCCTATGGAATATAGATGCAAAATTTCAACAAATCTAGCTAACCGAATCTTAGACACTATCAAAAATCCATCACGACCAAGTGGCTTCATCCCGGAGCAAGGTGTTCAAATATGTAAATCTTAAATGCAACTCCACACATAAACAGAAGCAAACAAAGACCATGATCTATTCAATAATGAAGAAAGCTTTGACAAAATTAACACCCTTCATGATACAACTTAAGAAAATAGGCTAGACGACTACCTAAAAACTGATACAGCCTATATGACAGATCCATAGCCAACTCATATCTGAAAGGGAAAATTGAAATCATTCCACTAGAACTTGAACCAGACAGGCTGCCCACTATCTCCACTTCTATTCAACATAGTTCTGGAAGTCCTGGCTACAGCATCAGACAGAAAGTGATTAAGGTACCAAATAGGGCAGAAGAGATCACTTCACTGTTTGCTGATGATATGATTATATTAGAAAACCCAAAGATTCAACCAAGAAACTCCTGGAACTGATAATGATTTAGAACGTCTCAGAATACACATCAATACACAGAAATCAGGCATTCATATACGCCAACAACAATCAAATGAGAATCAAATCAAAGACTCATTCCTTCACAATAGCAACTAAGAAATTAAAGTACCGAGATATACTTAACCAAGGAGGTAAAAGACTTCTACAGGGAGAACTATGAAACACTGAGGAAGGAAATAGCAGAGGATGTAAACAGATGGAAATCCATACCATGCTCGCGGATCGGCAGACTCAACATCATTAAATGTCATACTACCAAACTGATCTACAGTTCAATGCAATACCTATTAAAATCCCATCAGCATTCTTCACAATATAGAAAAAAATTTTACGCTTCGTATGGAACCAAAGAAGATCCCGAATATCAAGAGCATTCTAGGCAACAAAAACAAATGGGAGTATTATATGCCAGATATCAACTATACTACAAAGCCGTAGTAATTATCAATATGGTATTGGCACAAAAACAGGAATATTGACCAGTGAACAGTGTGAGAATCCTGATATAAAACCATACCTCATATAGCCATCTAATCTTTGACAAAGCAGACAACATACGCTGGGAAAAGAATCCCTTTTCAATAAATGGTGCTGGGAAACTGGATAGCCACCTTGTAGAAGGCTAAAGCAGGACTCACACCTTCACCTCTCACAAAATCAACTCACGCTGATAACAGATTAAGCTAAGGTAGGAAACTATTAGAATCTAGAGAAAATGTTGGAAACCTCTCCTAGACATCAGCCTAGGCAAAGAGTTTATGAAGAAGTCCCCAAGGCAATCACAGCAGCAACAAAAATAAATAAATGGGACATGATCAAACTAAAAGCTTCGGTACGCAAAGAAACAGTCATGAAAGTAACAGCAACCTACAGAATGGGGAAAATCTTGCATCCTACGCATCTGATAAGGGCTGATAACTAAATACACTTAGAGCCGGGCGCGGTGGCTCACGCCTGTAATCCTAGCACTCTGGGAGGCTGAGGCGGCGATTGCTCGAGGTCAGGAGTTCAAAACTAGCCTGAGCAAGAGCAAGACCCCGTCTCTACTATTATAGAAAGAATTAATTGGCCAATAATATGTATATATATAATTAGCCGGCATGGTGGCGCATGCCTGTAGTCCAAGTACTCGGGAGGCTGAGGCAGGGGATTGCTGAGCCAGGAGTTTGAGGTTGCTGTGGCTAGGCTGAGCCATGCACTCACTCTAGCCTGGGCAACAAGCGAGATCTGTCTCAAAAAAAAAATAAATAAATAAATAAATAAAAAAATTAAAAATAAAATAATAAATACACTTAGAATCACGAAATCAGCAAGAAAAATCAAATAACATATAAAAAGTAGGCAAAGACTTGAACAGAAACTTTCTAAAGAAGACAGAAGAATGGCCAACAAACATATGAAAAATGCTCAACATCTCTAATCATCAGGGAATGCAAATCAAAACCACAATGAGATATCACTTAACTCCAGTGAGAATGGCCTTTATCAAAAAGTCTCCAAACAATAAATGCTGGCATGGATGTGGAGAGTGAACACTCCTACACTGCTGGTGGGACTGCAAACTAGTTCAACCTCTGTGGAAAGCAATATGGAGATACCTTAAAGCGATACAAGTGAATCTACCATTTGATCCAGCAATCCCATTGGGCATCTACCCAAAAGATCCAATGACACTCTACAAAAAAGACACCTGCACTCGAATGTTTATAGCAACACAATTCATAATTGCAAGGCTGTGGGGAACAGCCCAAGTGCCCATCAATCCAAGAATGGATTAATAAAATGTCGTATAGGGGCCGGGCGCGGTGGCTCACGCCTGTAATCCTAGCACTTTGGGAGGCCAAGGCGGGCGGATTGCTCAAGGTCAGGAGTTCGAAACCAGCCTGAGCAAGACCCCGTCTCTACCAAAAATAGAAAGAAATTAATTGACCAACTAAAAATATATATATACAAAAAATTAGCCGGGCATGGTGGCGCATGCCTGTAGTCCCAGCTACTCAGGAGGCTGAGGCAGTAGGATAGCTGAGCCCAGGAGATTGAGGTTGCTGTGAGCCAGGCTGATGCCACGGTACTCACTCTAGCCTGGGCAACAAAGTGAGACTCTGCCTCAAAAAAAAAAAAAAAAAAAAATGTGGTATATGTATACCATGGAGTACATTCAGCTCTAAGAAACAATAGTGATATAGCACATCTTATATTTTCCCGGTTAGAGCTGGAACCCATACTACTAAGTGAAGTATCCCAAGAATGGAAAAACAAGCACCACATATACTCACCAGCAAATTGGTATTAACTGAGCAGCACCTAAGTGGACACACAGGTACTACAGTAATAGGGTATTGGGCAGGGGGGAGGGGGGCAGGTATATACATACATAATGAGTGAGATGTGCACCATGTGGGGGATGGTCATGCTGGAAACTCAGACTTGTGGGAGGAGAGGGGGAAAGGGCATTTATTGAAACCTTAAAATCTGTACCCCCATAATATGCCAAAATAAAAAAAAAGCCACATACCAACTCTAGGAAAGAATTAGCCACTGGCCTTTGGGTGTAAACAGTGGCATATGTAAAACACTATCTGCCTTCTCAATCCCTCACTGATATTTATCTCTGTCACACAACCAAAGCAACTGAGTTGAGATCATCTGACTACAGGATCATCAGACAGTTTCAACAGTTAAAACACCAAAGGGCAAGCAACAATGTCTCCTGCTTTTAAGGAATGATGTAGGGCACTGGTTACCTGTAGAGAGACCAGAACCAGAAGAGCGACAGCCCCAGATAGAGAGGTCTGAGTTGGCCACACAAAGATTTCTCAGTTCAACTGAGAATTTGTCTTTCACTTTCTGCCATATATGTATCTATTTTGATCACTTCCCTTCCCAAAGCCAGGCAATTTCTGTGATTCTGGTAGTATCCATTCCCTGGCTACAACATGACTACTCTCTCCAAACCTGTTGGTCATGAACAATGGTCTCTAGCTCAAAACTGTCAGCTGTCCCCTTTTTTCCTTTGGGAAATGTAGTGACTTAAGTCCCTGACCGGTCACTGAAGAACGTCTTTCTTAGGATTTATGTGTGTTAATCTCAAAGAGTCTACTTCTATAAGGCAAGGGTCAGGGAACAGGGCTACTACTTAGCACTACAGAAGCACTTAATATGTGTTAGATGACTCCTTACTACTTGTCCTTGTAAACAGGCTCTTAATGACAAAAATCTCTTTTGTAGCTTAACAAACCAAGGGATTTTTCTGTCTTTTTAGACATAAAATGTAGTTGAAGAAAATTCAGAAAGCACTGTTGTGACCAATATAACCAGAAAATTTACTACCATGGTAGAAGACAAAGGTAATTAATAAATTAATGGAAATATAATTTTAGTTCAGAGTGTAATTATTAGAAATAATAGGCCTTGAACCACAAACTAGACATTCTATTAAGTGACCAAACAAATGAGATACTTATTTTGCCACAGCTATCCTACTTAAAAGAAACAGGACAAGACCCTATACAGAAAAGATAAGATAGCATGCATCTCTAGAGAGGAAACATGAAATACCATCATGGGAAAGCCAGTTAGTTCCATTATCAACAGGAATTTGGATCATCCTAGTGATGTTTTAAACAAACAAGATATTAGTCTCATGCTAATAATGCCAGATGTTTATTATTAAAGCAGAAGATTTCTGTCCTTAATAATATCACTGAAAACGTAAGATCTACTATAAAGCATAAAACCAAAATGGCAGACTGCTAGTTGACCCCCAAATCTGTTCTTCCCTTCCTCCTGAGTACATGTCTAACCACTTCCCTTGCAGCTATGTATGGCCACCGGACTAATTTTGAATCATGGAATGTGAACAGGAATGATATGTGAAATCTCTGGGTCATTTAAAACTTATTACTAGATGCTTATTTCCATACGATCTCCCCCCACCACAACCTGGAACATGGATGTTACATTCAGTTTCAACCATGCAGGTTAAGATGACAACCTAAAGAATGTGAGTTACAAGGAAGAAACCTGGATCCCTGGTTGACCCTGTGGAACAGAGCTGCCCAGCTAACCTAGAGCATCCATCCTGAAAGGTAAGAGAAACACAGTCTATTATACCTTATGGAAGATGTTGAGAGCTCCTAACCTAAACTTCAGTTTAACCTTACTCTAACACATACAACCAGTAATCAGTCAAACAAATTCCCTCTGTTAGGCTTGGGAGTTCGTATATCCACTTGCTTTTTTTTTAGTTACTCATTTCTCTAGAGAAAATAGACACACTTACTCCACTGCTTTCTTGTAGATTTCGATGGCTTTGTCCAAGTCTCCCTCCAGCAAGTGGATCTTACCCAGCATTATGTAAGTCAGATCATGCCTATTAAGATGTAGGGCATTGTGCAACTGGTCTTGTGCCTGACAAGTTTGAAAAAGTAAAGAAAACCAAATTACTACTACTAAAAAACAATGGCTTCATATTGTTCAGAGCTCCTGGTGTACAAACGTAGGAACATCATATTTCAGCAAATAGCCCCCACTACCCGAAGACCAAAACATAACAAAACTATCCCTGCTGACAGGGCAGGGCAACATGGGATATCTGCTCCTGAGCCACTTGGGAGAATTTATACAAGACGATTAATCTTTCTGAATGTATTGTGCTTGACATTCACACACCCATGTCTTATACTTCATAAGTCAAAAGGGACATCATATACAGTGTAGAGTAATGCACTAAACTCAATCCCAGTTGCACCACTGACCAATTGTACAACTTTCCCCAGGGTGGGCCTCATTTCCCCCACCAATGTGATGATAAATGAATGAAGAGATTGTTCTCCTTTATTCACTCAACAAGTATTCATTGAGTGCCTACTTTCTAGATGGTAGGTATACTAGAGTTAACAAAACAAACTCCTTGCTCTGGAGGAGCTTATATCCTAGTAGATGAACAAAAGGGCTTTGTTTAGTCATTCACTGATTCAACAAGTATTTGTATAAATGCCAGGTATTTTATTGACTTAGCCTGTTAGCTTTATAGTAAAATCTAAATATAATTCAGGCTGGGCACAGTAGCTCAAGCCTGTATAATCTTAGCACTCTGGGAGGCCAAGGCAGATGGATCACTTGAGCTCAGGAGCACAAGACCAGCCTGACCAAGAGTGAGACCCCATCTCTACTAAAAATAGAAAAAACTATCCAGGGGTGGTGGTGCACGCCCACCCATAGTCCCAGCTCCTCGGGAGGCTGAGGTGCTTGAGCCCAGGAGTTTGAGGTTGCTGTGAACTTGGCTGATGCCAAGGCACTCAGTCCAGGCAATAGAGCAAGACTCTGTTTCAAAAAGTAAGTAAGTAAATAAATCAATAATTCTTCTCCTAAGAACAGAGCCAACCAAAGACTAATCCTTCTCCCCAGGCTCTGAATTAATCCTGTGAATAGAAATGTACGTGCTTGAAATATTCTCTGAAGAAAAAAATTTCCTAGCTAAGTATATAAAACTGTAGATCCATCCAGAAAACCTAAGGGGCCCACTAAATATATATGTAATTTATTTACATTATTTATTATCTGTCTCACAAGAGAAAAAGTTACTCCTACACCTCAACTGCTGGTGTGCAGATTATTTCTCACACCTGTGAAAGGCAGATTAGGTTACACCAGTCTGCAAAATGACACAAACTAAACATTTTCAAATGGGTATTAACTAATTCAGATCCTCAGTCCTGGTGGCACTGCAGAAAGGAGAATTGGAGAACTTCACAATCACTAAATAGGAGCTCTATAAAGGAAACTACTCAACCCCGCCATCACTAACTTTCAGAATTCTCAATAATTTCATGTGTTCCTCAATTAAGATATATATATATTTTTTATCTGAGTACCAAGGGAAGCTCAAACTGTTTTATCTAAGAGCCTTAGGGCTTATAACTTAACCAAAATGAAATATAAATGCTCATGATGGAAAATAACTAAAAAATTAAATCTAAAAATTCTTAGAAATAAGATCAACTTAAAATTTTAAAGTTCATTTTTAATGACCTTAAAAACTAAAAGTATTTGCTGTCAGAGCATGAAATAGCTCACATGGTCATGATTACACCTTTAAGACTTAAGGGTTCACTTTTTGATAGTTACGTTTTATTAAACATTTGTTTCTATACTGGAAAATTAAACTGAATGTAGAGAAAAAGAAGAGAGGGGGAAAGCAATTAGATTGTCATTCCCTCACAGTAGTTCTAGAATTTTCCATCTTCTTGTTAAAAGCAGAAAGAAATAGATGAATAAAATGAGAATTAAAAAATGGAGATAAATGTATAAAGGCACTTTCAATTTTCACTTCCAAAAACTTCTGCAAGCACTAGGGATAACACAAAATGAGCAGTGGCAGTGTACCCTCAGTGTACCCCACTTCTATAGATTACCTTGTTGAACTGCTTCAGGTAAATATAGCAAACTCCTAGGTTATGGCAGATCTCCTACACACAAAAGAAAGGAAAACAATTTAGGTGTAATTCCACAGTAAGTATTAGAGTGACACAACAGACATCTAGCAATTGTTATTACTCAGCAAAGTTTAAACTTTAAAATATGCACTACAGTCAGCTTTTTTTTACTAGTTCATACTCAAATATATTTAATTCTACAAAATGAGTTCATTAATATAAAAAATAGATTAATAATAAAAGCAGAATAAACGTGATCTTCCTGGATCTACACGGTACCCTGAGGTACATACCCAGCCTGTCTCCATACCCTTTTTCTCTAAGAGTTGCATACTACCCATACATTTTGTGCCCTCTTCTCAGAAGAGACTACGCACACCCCCTGCTGAGAGGGCTGCTAGCCACCACAGGTATCTATAGATAAAGAGAGTGACACCTGAGTCAACTGAAGTCCTTTAGCTAGGAATCTGGAATTGGAATGAAGCTAGCTGGTTGCAAGCACTAAATTCACTAGGTGATGTGTATTTGAGGACTAACAGCGCCATCTGGGGGCTGCTATGGTGGAATATATGTTATTGGCGCCATCTACAGAAATCTCGAGCAGAGGTCAGAAAACTATGGTCCATAGGCCAAATCCATTCCCTGCACTTTTTTGTAAACAAAGTTTTATTGGAACACAGTCATGACCACTTGTTTTCATATGGCTCTTTAGCATAAGAACTGCGGAGATAAGTAGTTGCAACAGAGTCTGTATGAAGCTACAACGCTTGAAATATTTACTAACTGGCCTTTACCAAAAAAGTGTGTCAACCTCTAATCTACAGAATGCAAAGATGAAGCAAAAATGCAGAGTAGCTACTTTGGATGCTGACAGCTTTTCAGTTCTAGTTCACTATAAGAGCAGCCTGTATCTCCTGATACTATTTTATGGATTCTCTCAAATTCCTTTATAATAAATCTCCCATTTATTTATTTAAGGTAGCTTTAGAGAAGGAGAAAGCAGGGGTGAGGAAACTGCTCTTGGCAAACGTAGTAAGGACCACCCTGTTAGTAACAGGGATAGATCCTTGTCCAAGGATCTTGGATCCCCAGACTCAGAGATAACAACTGGTTTAATGTTTTCCAAGTCTCCTAAAATAACAACAACAAAACACCAATCATTTATTGAGCACCTAACTATACATCAGATACATCAGGCTTTATGCCAGACATTTTCATATATATTACTTTAATTTTCCCAGCAAATCTGCAACATAGTTATAATTTTTTCAATTCCTCAGATAAGGAAACTGAAGCTCAGAGAGGTTTAGTAGTTTGCCTAACCTAACTTCAAAAGTGGCAGCACTGGGATTTTTCTCTTCTTTTTAAGTTCTATATCCTAAGGATAATTTTAACCATATATAAATATAGACAGAATCACCATGTACTCATCATCCTGTTCCAACAACTATCCAATCCATAGCCCATCTACTTCTACTATTTTTGTAAACAAATACCAGACAGCATAACATTTCATCCACAAATATTTCAATATTTCTAAAAGATAAGGTTTTTAACCTACCCACAATATCATAGTTGAAAAAAATTAATTGCTTTGCAATAGATATTCAATTATGTTCAAATTTCCAATTATTTCACAAATGTCTTACATTAAAATTTTTTTTTTCTTAAATCATAATTCAAATCATGTCCACATTACAAGGCATTGGGACCTGAATTCAGGCTTGCTTCCAAAACTTGTGTACTTCCCACTTTGTCAAGCTATGACAATGCACACATGTAGAGAAATACAGCGTTTCTTGTCCCTTAAATGTCCTGAAGGCTAACTAACTTCGAATCTTTTAAAATCATTTGGCATAGATACTATTTGACAAGGCAGCAATAAGCTTTAAACAAACTGAGAGCAAAGGAATCTGGAAAGGAAAATCAAACAAATCAGAGTCAAACTCTATTTTTCATGAGGTGAAGGAATCCAGCAGACATTCTACAAAGGCAGTTGGTACAGTGGAAAGATCACAAGCCTAAAATAAGGAAACCTAGATTCTATGCTTGAATTCTATCTCTGATTCTGGCATTACTTCACTGTGTACCTTTGGCAAGTTATTCCACCTTCCAAAGCCTCAGCTACTTCACTTGTTGATAAGGGAAATTCTCCCTGTTTAACAGAGCTGTTCCAAAAGTCAAATAAGATAATGGCAGGAGGAATGATTATTCTCCTGTTGCTGCCAGACTATGGAATACCCTAATGAGTCCAGAAAAGTATGGTTACAAGGTTTTCTCCAGGAACTTACAAAATACGTAAGGATAGAGTGCTGGCTGTTTGGAGAATGACTGCTTCTGCTAATGCCAATGCAATGGTTATCCCAAGTTAGTTAATGCCAAACGAGCTCTTTTAACCAACTAGATAGATTAACAGATACACTCCGTTCACCCTCTGACCCTGAACTCTCCTGCTTCACCTCCTCTGTCTCCCTCTATGGGTTCTTTTCTTCTGCTCAGCCCTTTGAAACAGGTTTTTTCCCAGGGTTCCATCCTCAGTTCACTGCAGGGTGATCTCATCCAATCTCATGGAACAGCTGCATTGGCAGCTGTTTCAAGGGCCTGGGTCTCATTCTACAATTACCACCTTTATGTTGCTGATTCCAAAATATACATCACTAGCTCAGAACACTTCCGTCTTAGATTTCTATATCCAACCATACACTGGACACATCTCGATTTAGATACCAGAACCGAAAACTTAGGTCCAAAATCCTCTGAAAGGCAGGATTCAACTCTAATTTGTTATCATCACCTTCTCCCCACACTTCCTCCTCTTCCTTCCTATATTTCCTATTCTAGGTGATTTTCATAATCTACCAGTCCACTTTTGCATCTCCAAGCCCAGTCACCGGTTCCCCACCCTTAGCCTTGTGCCTGGCATATAGAAGACATTTTTTGGAAAAAAAAAAAAAACTAAATGAAAAAGTAAAACAAATTTTCTTTATATGTAGCTTCACTCTGACTGTTGACTATAAAATACTGCATGGCATAAAGACTCAAAATAACTCAATCTTTAGACCTATAAAAGAAAATTGACTGAAAAACTGAACACGCTTCAAAAATAATAGTGCCATAAGATCTGCAAAGGAAACTCATGCTAATTCTCTGTACTAATAAATAAATTCTTCACTCATAGATATGTATGTCTCTCCAATAATCATCAAAAACTTAAAAAAAAAACCGACATTAAAAAAAAATGAGAGGAAGAAAAGGATAGTTCTGGGAAGCAGAACAGAATCTCAAGAATCAGAGATACTGGAGAGGTTATTACAAGAAGAAAATGGAGGTAGAAACTAAGAGAGGCAAGTTAAAGGACATGGAGAATAGGTAAAGAACATGTCTAATAGAGAGTAAAAAACAGTGTGACAGGTACTATTAGTTATTTACCTAACATCCACTCTCCTTTTTTTCCTAACAGAACCCTAGTTTTGTTTAGAATGGCAATATGACCAGATTAAAAACTACATTTTCCAGCCTTTCTTATAATTGGAAATTTGCTGGGGACTTCTGGGGAAGCTGTGCTTTCCTGAAATAGGCTCTGTCCTTTTCTCCTTGTTGCTTCCTCTTTCTCCCTCCCTAGAATACAGATGTGATGTCATAGCTGCAACAGTCATCTTGTAACCATGAGGAAAAACTCTCAGCCTTGACAACCAAGGACCACCAAATCAATGCCAACAACTACTTACCTGGACTTTTTATGTCATGAAAATAAAAAATAAACCCCCAATTTGCAAAGCCAATGTTTAGTCAAATTTTCTGTTGCAGTTACACACAATCTCCAATTGATACAAAGAGACAATGAAAGGAAAAAATTAATCAAAGAATTACTCAAAGAAAATTTCCCTCACCTAAAGAAAGGCAAGGGTCTTCAGAATGAAAGAGCCAACTGAGTGTCAAACAGATGGGAGAGAAACAAAACACAACTAGATGCCTATTGCTGACATTCTGGAACTCCAATGATAAAGAAAAAATACTCAAAGCTTCTAGAGAGGAAAGTGGAGTCATCAACAAAATCAGATTGGTAAAAGACTGCTTATCAGCAACACTGACTCCTACAAAAGCATGCAGCAATGTCTGCAAAGCTATGAGGCAACATGATTTTTGATCCTATACTTGATAAATCATCAATCAAGTATGAGGATGAAATAAAGACATTTTGGGCACGTAATAATTCAGAAATAATAACATAAGACAGCCATATGATAAAGGGAACCATCAGCATGTTTACTAATAAGAAAGATCTGAAAGTTCCCTACTTACCCAATCTTTCTGGTTAAGTTTAGCTGCTTCATTATATACTTCAGTGGCAGCTTTATGTTTTCCTAAAAGAAATCTGTGGAAGATATATTTTTCATAATTATTACCTCAATATTCTTAGAAGATTAACCCCACTAGTCCCACATTTTATTCATATCTCATCTAGCAGAGAATTCTGGAAGCCTTTTCCTTATGAGCTGGTTGTGCTGGTTTGGCCAGTGAGGCTGCTATACACCAACAGCAGAGGCTTTCCTTGTAGGGATTATATTGGCAGCTGTTCCAGGGCCTTAGTCTCATTCTACACCAATTTTAGTCAAAGTCTTCTGTAATTTTTTTCCTACACTGTACAAGAAATATAGACCAAAAAAGAAACAAGTGATAAGCAATAACTGCCATCATTTATCATCATCCATTAGGTACATGTCCTTTCCTTCCAAGCCTAAGTCTCTTTTCTTTATATTAGCTCATGAATTTGGAGAGAAACAGGAAAACCAGGCTCTTTGCAAAAACAATGCAGGTATGAATGACAATGTAGGTAAGAAAGTAGATACGGGAACTCCATGGAACAGAGTACTGGAAAGAGGGTATACCTAACAGCTTATTAAGACTTTGGAGGTTGCTTCCATCTAGGAAGCTTCAGGACATTCACTCAACAAATACAGATGTTCCTCAATTTACAACAGTTATGTCCAGATAAACTCATAGTAAGTTGAAAATATTGTTAAGTCAAAAATGCATTTAATACATCTAACCTACTGAACATCACAGCTTAGCCTAGCCTATATTAAATGTACTCAGAATACTCACATTAACCTAGAAATAGACAAAATCACCTAACACAAAACCTATTTTATAATAAAGTGTTGAATATCTCATGTAACTGATTGAATATTCTACTGAAAATGAAAAACAGAAGGTTGTATGGGTACTCGAAGTACAGTTTCTACTGAATGCATATCAATTTTGCACCACTATAAAGTTGAAAAATCATGTTATGTTGAAACATAAGTGGGGAATTGTCTGTACTTACTAAAAACCTACTGTGTGTCAAGTATTATGTTAAGTATTAGAAAAGTAGATGAGAAAAATTCCATGGGTTGCTAATATGATTAGAGGACTTAGGGCACAAGATGTCACTATTTCCATGGTAAACAGTATCAGTGTTCTCCCATCAAACTAGAATGTACAGTGTTTTAAATTCTTAATTCCTTAATATTAGTTCTCTCATTTTCTCAAATTTCAAAATTAATCCATGCTGTTCAAAACAAATCCCATTATACCTATTAAACCACTTTCCTCTTATGTATCAGGCCGATCAGGTTGCCAGCAGCAGCCTGTGCCTGAGAACACATTTTACATTGTTCTCTGTGAGTGCCCTACAGCCTACAAGCCACCAATACTCACAACGATCTGGCCACCTGCTTGAGGTTATCAGCACACTGAGGACTGAGAACTGCACATGTCTGAAAGAGTTCTAGAGATTCTTGGATATTTCCTTCCAGGCGAAATATCAGTGCTGCCAAGAAACAGAAAATACAGAAAATAAAACCATGTTCTGGTTTTATGAATGAAGCCTGGCATCAGAAAAATTAGAGAAGAAAGAAATCAAAGAAATCCTTTGGATAATTTTGTCTTTAATACAAATATGACTTCAGATGAGCTAAAAGAACAAGAAAAGCTGTTGACAAGCCAAAATCTTTTTTAATAAGGTAGCTCAAATCTACCTACTTCTGTGCTCCCAATATCCACCACACACATAATCAGTTCCCATGCAAATTATCACACAAACTCTTCACAATAAAAACATTTTGGAGCTTCCCCACCAGATGCTTTATTTATTATGATAATTCAGACTTCCACCTGATAGTTTTCAAAGAGAGCTCTCAAATGGAGTAAGCAGAATCAATACCCCCAGTCCAACAGGGAGATTCTGGCAAAGAATATAGTAATATTTCAGACTTTGGTTTTCAATATAGCAACCAATCAGAGTCAATAATTTTCCCTAGGCCTAAGTTTTCAGAAGAATTTATCAGGCACTGAAAGTCTGGAACTTGTGATATTGGCAATAAAAGAGCTTCTTTTTTTGCTATGATGTCCTAAATGTGTCAATATCTTAACAATTACGTCAGAAAATTATATATTAATCTGAAGACTATAAATGTGATGAATGATAAACAAAACCATTCATTTACATTAAAGAGTCTTGTGGCTCATGCCTATAATCCTAGCACTTTGGAAGGCTGAAGTGGGAAGACTGCTTGAGGTCAGGAGTTCAAGACCATCCTGAGCAGGAGCGAGACCCTGTCTCTACAAAAAAAATTGAAAAATTAGCTGGGCATGGTGGCATGCACCTATAGTCCTAGCTACTCAGGAGGCTGAGGCAGGAAGATCCCTTGAGCCAAGAAGTTGGAGGTTGCAGTGAACTCTGATGACACCACTGCACTCTAGCCTAGGTGACAGAGCAAGACCTTGTCTCAGAAAAAAAAAAAAAAAGGGCCAGGCGTGGTGGCTCACGCCTGTAATCCTAGCACTCTGGGAGGCCGAGGCGGGCGGATTGCTCGAGGTCAGGAGTTCGAAACCAGCCTGAGTCTCTACTATAAATAGAAAGAAATTAATTGGCCAACTAATATATATATATATAATTAGCCGGGCATGGTGGCGCATGCCTGTAGTCCCAGCTACTCGGGAGGCTGAGGCAGAAGGATTGCTTGAGCCCAGGAGTTTGAGGTTGCTGTGAGCTAGGCTGACGCCATGGCACTCACTCTAGCCTGGGCAACAAAGTGAAACTCTGTCTCCAAAAAAAAAAAGAAGAAGAAGAAGAAGAAAAGAAAGAAAGTTCCTGGAAAAAGTAAAGATGTTACTTATGACATTAAAAGAGTAAAACTGAAGTCAGGGGTTCCTGTATGTGGTTTCTGATGAGTTTAATTAATTCTCTGCTTTATCCTGTATATTTCTAGGCTTCCTCCCCTTATCCTGACTCATCTTACAAAAAATCCTCAAGCCTTTTCTCGTCTTTTTTTTAGCTTGACAAGGAACCCTTCCAAAAACATCTTCTGGCCTTGAAATCCACTGCATGAGGCAAGAATCCTAAGCATCCATTTTGAAAAATACTAGCACAAACTAAACAAACGGTGAAGAATGGTCATTGAGGAAAAAAATGTTTTAATAAATGTAGTGTAGTATAAGTATATAGAGTTTATAAAATCTACCATACTATATAGGAATGTCCTAGGCATTCACACACACTCACCACTGACTCACCCAGAGCAATTTCCAATCCTGCAAACTCCTTTCATGGTATACATTTTTTTCTCTTTTATACTGTATTTTTACTGTACTTTTTCTATGTTTAGATACACTTACAACTGTGTTACAACTGCTTACAATATTCAGTACAATAACATGCTGTTCAGGTTTGTAGCCTAGAAGCAATAAGCTATACTATATAGCTTACATGTGTAGTAAGCTATGCTATCTAGGTTTGTGTAAGTACATTCTACAATGTTCATGTGATGACAAAAATGCCTAATGGTGTATCTCTCAGAACATATCCTTGTCATTAATGGATGCGTGACTGTACTTGAATTTAAATATTTCCTAAATTATTTGTTCTTTTTTAAGAATCTAGACAAAGCATATTTCTCTAGCAAGAAGAGAATACGTATCTTACCTTGGACATAGATAGCATATTCACATAACCCCTGAGTCTCCTGAAGCTGTTCTTTGATAACAGCCTGAAAGAGGAAGAAAAATACTTCTGAACAGTGGTTAAGTTTCTTAAGTTATGTCTTAAGATAGACATAGCTGAGTGTGGTAGCTCGCACATATAATCCTAGCACTATGGGAGGATCACTTGAGGCCAGGAGTTCAAGGTTACAGTGTGCTGTGATTGTGCCACTGAACTTGAGCCTGAGGGAGGGAGGGAGGGAGGGAGGGAGGGAGGGAGGAAGGAAGGAAGGAAGGAAAGAGGACAGGAAGGAAGGAAGGAAGGAAGGAAGGAAAGAAAAGGTAGACATGGACAAGGGGTACCTATAAGAAGTCTAGGATACTAGTAATGACTAATAAAGTAGTTCATTCAGTCTTTTAAATCACAGCTCTCTTCTTATAATTACTTATTTTATCTAGAACAGGGATTAGCAAACTATGGGGTTCACAGGCCCCATACATTTTTGTACAGCTCTCAAGCAAAGAATGGTTTTTATATTTTAAAAAGATTATTTAAAAAAATCAGATGATGATGAGTAAGAGCTAGAGACTATATGTGGCCTGCAAAGCCTAAAATATTTACTCTCTGGCCCATTACAGAAAACATTTGCCAACCCTTTTCTAAAATCTAACTACGAAAGCTAAGAAAAATGTGAAAAAAATTTCCAAGTAATACACAGAAGGAAAAGAAAGAAAAGCTCTCCAGATCCATACTGGTAGTAAATGCTATTAGTTCTGTGCCTTGCCTTAGGTATAAATGCCACAGGTATAAATTAAAAAACCACAGCCTGTGGCCGGGTGTGGTGGCTCACGCCTGTAATCCTAGCACTCTGGGAGGCCAAGGCGGGCAGATTGCTCGAGGTCAATCCAGGAGTTCAAAACCAGCCTGAGCGAGACCATCCGTCTACTAAAAATAGAAGAAATTAATTGACCAACTAAAAATATATATACAAAAAATTAGCCAGGCATGGTGGCCCACACATGCCTACAGTCCCAGCTACTCGGGAGGCTGAAGCAATAGGATCGCTTGAGCCCAGGAGACTGAGGTTGCTGTGAGCTAGGCTGATGCCACGGCACTCACTCTAGCCTGAGCAACAAAGTGAGACTCTGTCTCAAAACAAAACAAAACAAAACCACAGCCTGAGGATTACAAAGCTCGGCCTGCCAAAAAAGACAACACCAATGATATATTTTGCATGTTAGTATCACTACTATCTGTTAGCAACTTTGTAACATACATGGTATGTTACCAAAGAGATAAATAGACAAAGACAGGGAAATACCAATGGTTTTTAAATATACAAATGATGATCAACCTCACCATAAGAGAACTATAAAATAAAACTAAATGAAATACCGCTTTCCACCTATCCAAAGATCAAAAAGTTAGATAATATACTGAGTTGAACATCTGTCTCCACCAAAAGACCAGCAAGTCACAAAGAGTGGCTGCCCTTTCAGTTTGATCTTTACATGAGAAGATACATGGAACATACCTGAACCTGACCCACAGCCTACAGTCATACCCAGCCAAGCCACAGCCAATCTGAAAGCCTATGAGCAATTAATAAATGTCTGTCAGGGGCCACTGCAATTTTGAGGTTGTTTGTTAACCATAACTATCATAGTACAAGCTAACCAGTACACAAAATGCGGGAAAACAGGAATTCATATATTATTACTGGGCTATAAACTGCCATATTCTGTGTGGCCTAGCTAACATCCTGCTTCACATTTTCTCTATCACTGCAATCTCTCACCTTGCATGCTACGTAATCCTTCCGGATATAGTGGAGATGTATCAACCAGTTCTGCTTCTCCAAAATAGGAAAATCTGGAGCTAGGTAACATATTTTGACAAAACAAACAACACAGTCATTAGATTTTCTCCTTTACCATTGTTCTCATGTCTAAACTAACCATAAGCATACTGCAGTATCACATTAAATTCTTCATGCTGCTGACTATAAGATTACAGTACATAAAAATGTATAAACTATTAAACTAAGAGATATTTGTTCTACTATTAAACATTGAATATATATTTCTCTTGAGTTTTTGTGGCTTATAATGTCAGTCTCTCAAATGATAACTTGGCCTGAAAAATGTAAAATCATCCTTTGTCTCTTCTGCTTTAATTCTCTCTTCCTGATTCCAAAGATGAATAGAAAGGCTTTCTAAAGGACATTTCAGGAATGTTACTAACAAATCATATATAACACAGTTAATATCACATCTGATAGATCAGAGTACCAAAAATATTTTAAGTAGTTAAATATCATCTTTTTTTTTTTTTTGAGACAAAGTCTCACTCTGTTGCCTGGGCTAGAGTGCCGTGGCGTCAGCCTAGTTCACAACCACCTCAAACTCCTGGGCTCAAGCAATCCTGCTGCCTCAGCCTCCAAGTAGCTGGGACTACAGGCATGCACCACCATACCCGGCTAATTTTTTCTATATATATTAGTTGGCCAATTAATTTCTTTCTATTTGTAGTAGAGACGAGGTCTCGCTCTTGCTCAGGCTGGTTCTGAACTCCTGACCTCAAGCAATCCGCCTGCCTCGGCCTCCCAGAGTGCTAGGATTACAGGCATGAGCCACCGCAACTGGCCTCAAATATAAACTTTAGAAATAGCTCAAATGGGAACATTATGCTGTTACCTAGGAATGAAAAGTCAACAACGAAAGAGTTCTACTTGAGTCACTGAAAACCTCTCCTGAGAGAGAAACCATAAAATGAGTTACTTGCCCACTGAAATCAAAAGTTTAAAATACAGGTAAAACTTCATTAAGAAATTACTTTTCTATGGTAACACAGAGTAGAAAAATTCACATCAACCTCAAAATAGTGAAGATCTTGAGGAAGGGAGAGGGAAGAAGGGGATTAGGCAAACATAAAAAGGAGACTTTAACTCTTTAACGTATATTTCTCAAAAAATGGAAATAAAAAGCTTTAAAGTTAACATGGGCTACATGTTTTTATTTATTAAATCTGGCTAGTGTATTTGTATTATTTTTTGTGAATGTTAATATATGTTTGAGAAAGTCCCTGATTTTTAAAAATGTAAAAGAAAAGGAAGAACAGAGGAAGAGAGGGAAATGATTTATAATCTATTTCTTCACGTTTCAGAACCTTATGAAAGGCCGGGTGCGGTGGGTCACGCCTGTAATCTTAGCACTCTGGGAGGCTGAGGCGGGTGGATTGCTGGAGGTCAGGAGTTCAAAACCAGCCTGAGGCCGGGCGCGGTGGCTCAAGCCTGTAATCCTAGCACTCTGGGAGGCCGAGGCGGGAGGATTGCTCGAGGTCAGGAGTTCGAAACCAGCCTGAGCAAGAGCAAGACCCGTCTCTACTATAAATAGAAAGAAATTAATTGACCAACTAAAAATATATATACAAAAAATTAGCTGAGCATGGTGGCACATGCCTGTAGTCCCAGCTACTCGGGAGGCTGAGGCAGGAGGATCACTTGAGCCCAGGAGTTTGAGGTTGCTGTGAGCTAGGCTGATGCCACGGCACTCACTCTAGCCTGGGCAACAAAGTGAGACTCTGTCTCAAAAAAAAAAAAAAAAAAAAAAAAAACCAGCCTGAGGAAGACCCTGTCTCTACTATAAATAGAAAGAAATTAATTGACCAACTAAAAATATATATACAAAAAATTAGCTGAGCATGGTGGCACATGCCTGTAGTCCCAGCTACTCGGGAGGCTGAGGCAGGAGGATCACTTGAGCCCAGGAGATTGAGGTTGCTGTGAGCTAGGCTGATGCCACGGCACTCACTCTAGCCTGGGCAACAAAGTGAGACTCTGTCTCAAAAAAAAAAAAAAAAAAAAAAAGAACCTTAGGAAAAACAACCTACAGAAAACCTAAGACGTATATGTTCACAATATGACAGAAAAGGAAAAAAGCTTACTGTAACCAAGAGTTAATGTTACCTGAACACAAAAATTAAGAAATAATGCTGTCTACTGCTTCCCAATAGGGAATATCCATGGAATATGTAAGAGAAAATTATGCCAGAAAGTACAGATGTGATTTTTATATGCCAAGAGAAAGAAAAAAGATAAAATTATAAGCAATAACTCTTCATCGTCCAATTACATACATTCTCTTAGTAGGCCCACACTTTCTAGTCAGTACGGGCCTATTGGAGATTATCCTAAAACTTTTGTTTCCTTTATTCCCGCACCCCCACCCACACCCACCACTGTCCCATCAGTCACCAGATCTTAGCCATTCATATTCTGCCTAACCACATCCAGAATTAAATTTTCTTCTAAAAGCCATACAAATCACCAAGATTAAAGATGTGTGTATGTGTGTAAAGTGGATAAAGAAGTGCATCATAATGAATAGTTCTGGGACAGGTGGCTTACTGAATAATCTTGGACCAAGTCTCAATTGTATGGCCTACCTCTCTGTCACCTACCCACCAAAGAGTGAAAGAGAAGGCACTGAACTCTTTTGAGTTTATAATATCACTAAGTATCATTGCTTCTACAGCCTAAGATAAAATTTACAAAATGAGACTTTTGAAGTCTTGCTTGTTATTAAACTCTCACAATAAAAGACAAACCATGTTTTGTGCTCACTGGGTGAAGACTGGAGAAAAAAATGTTCAATTTGTAAGACAGCTCAAGAGCACAGAGGCTCATGAAATGGAGCTCTCAGGATGAGAAGAAGGGAAGGCACCACCAAATCCAAGTGCTAAAGGTCCTTTCACACTCCTAGAAATAGAGTTAAAAGAACTCTAGCTTTATTAAAAATTTTAGAGAACATTTCAGTGCCCCATAATTGTCCTATTACCCAATATGTAACCCTGGGAAATTTACGATTTCCTTATCTGTAAAATAGAGATTCATTCATTCGACCAATATTCTCTATGTGCCTACCACATGCCAGGCACTGGGGATACAGAAGTGAACAAAATTTACTCCCTGATTTCAAGGAGCTTATAATGAGAAATGGGGGGTGGGGTACCATCAGAAAGGATAGATAATACAATGTTATACTTATAAGTGACATTTTTCCATGGAGAAAAATAAAGCAGAAGAGGGAAAGAGACTACAAGGTAGGGAATTACACTTTTTTTTTCAACAGGCTGATTGCAGAGGAGTTACACTTTTAAATGGGAGGGTCAGGGAATAAAATACTCATCCCCATAAAATACTCAATCCCCAATGTGAGGATTGAATGCCTTAATATAAATATAGAGGTTCAAATAATGCCTGGTACATAGTAGCCCTATGGGACTACTTCATAGTAGCCCTAAAGAAGTGTTAGCTACTGTTGTTGCTATTATTTTTATTATCCTTATTATTTAGGTATTCTCAAAGATGAGGGAATTCTGGATACCTCAGAAATCCCTACAGTCTATGAATCCTGAATTTACAATTAGAATTGTACCTGTAAATGTAGAGGCTGAATTTCTTGTATTCCAAATCATTATACACTCCAACTCCTCCTACAAATGGGGACACTGGTTCTTATATGTTTTTGCAGGTATTATGACAATTACATAATATTTCAAAGATCCTTCAAAAAAGATAGGCATGTAAATGCAAAGCAGAGCGTCTTCTACTTTACAACAAAGCACAGTAGTCATTTCTGATGCTACACTTTAGGAGCCTATGTTACCACAGAGGTCAGGAAGCCAGCTGTGCGAGGAAGACAAGGTAATGTCCTTCAGCCGTTTGTATACAAGACCTCATTCATAACCCAGCTCCCTCACTACCCCTCCACCATAACCAAGGCAGTGGCATGGAAGGCTGGCAACCTAGCAACAATACTCCCTTGCCTTGTTCTATTCCTTTGTGACATCTCTTCCCCTTCTTTCTCCCTTTAAAGACGCACCCAACTTATATTTAATTATAAATAACTTCCTAACACTGAATAAACATGGCACCTCAAGAATTCTCCCATTTTTTACCCAGGTGCTAAATTCTCTTAGGAATGGCCCTAACGCAAACCTTTAAATTTTGATTAATGCTAGGGACAGTATCCTGGGTATGAGTGCTAAGCAGAAAAATACTATGGTCCAGATTTGTAGTTGAAAAATTTCCTAAAATGACCCAGGCTTTTGCAAGTATATTGCAAATGAAGCCTTTTTTTTTTTTTTTTTTTTTTTTTTTTGAGACAGAGTCGCACTTTGTTGCCCAGGCTAGAGTGAGTGCCATGGCATCAGCCTAGCTCACAGCAACCTCAAACTCCTGGGCTCAAGCAATTCTACTGCCTCAGCCTCCCAAGTAGCTGGGACTAGAGGCATATGCCACCATGCCTGGCTAATTTTTTCTATATATATTAGTTGGCCAATTAATTTCTTTCTATTTATAGTAGAGACAGGGTCTCACTCTTTCTCAGGCTGGTTTCAAACTCCTGACCTTGAGCAATCCGCCCACCTCAGCCTCCCAGAGTGCTAGGATTACAGGCGTGAGCCACTGAGCCCGGCCTGAAGCCTTCTTTTTTAAAGGATCTCTTCCAGGACTAGCAGATATGTATGTAGCACATAAAAGTCTTTATATGTAGAATTCCAATCTTGATTATAGTACCCTCCTTCTATGGGACCTAGGACAAGTCTCTCTGGGCCTCCAAGTTTTCCTCTATAATTTTACTGGAAAATATGAAAAATCTGAAAGTGGCCATCCAATAAATTTTAATTTTCTCATGCCAAATTGGAATTATAACACTTTTCTACCTCGATGTGATATTTGGGGCATCAGAAGATATAATAAATCTTAAAAAGAATGTGAGTATAGGACATTTCTATTACTATCATTTTGACCCTGTATCAGAGTCTAACAGGAAATCACCTGAGGAACTTTAGTGCAGAGAACAGGTGATGGAAGA